AGAAAACACAGTTTACCAAGGAAATTAATAATATATATTTTGATTTAAACCTGCTGTTCTCTTTTCACATTCTAGACAAGAAAGATTAACCATGGAAAATACAGGGATCCTTGAGCTTCCAGTTGCTTGTCAATCATTTTTCGAAATTGAAATGCTCAACCTACCCTGTAGTTTCCATGGTATGGAAACTATTGCACCACAATTACACATTGCTTCCCGTCTTAGAAAAATAAGGGAATCTTGAAGTTTCCCTGTAATTTCCTTTTATGAGACACCAGATAATTCCACCAAGTTTCCATCACACGGAAACCGCTACGCTCCAATTCCATATAGTTTCCTGAGTCATGGAAACTTGAGGAATCACGAGGTTTCCTCTAGTTTCCGTTCATGGGAAATTTGAGGATTCCATCGAGTTTCCATTCCATGGAAACCACTACGCTCCGATTCCACATAGTTTCCTAATTATGGAAACCAGTGGAATCTTCAGGTTTCCCATTACGGGAAACTACATGGAGGCTCAGGAAACTTCAGGTTTCCTGAGGTTTCCGTGGTTCGGGATACCTTATGGAATCGGAGCGTAGTAGTTTCCGTGGTACGGAAACTTGACGGAATAACCTGGCATCCGCTGCGGAAACCACTAGGAAACATGATGTAAACATGAGGTTTCCATGTGGTTTCCATATAGTTTCCCATGACGGGAAACTGCTTATTTCACCCAGTGTTATTGTTTACTCGTTTATTTTCTATAATTATATGTTTCATTTTAAACTCGTTATTATTATTATTGAGCACTTAAGAAATTGAAATCACGCCCCCCCCCCCCCCCCCTCCAATGAAAGGTCTTATATTGTTCTTTTACAGCTTTAATTTTAAATCTGAAAAATGTTGGATCCTTCCCTCAACAGTGCTGCCATCATTTGTCTCGCATCACTCTCACGGGTAATATAAAGATTAGCGTTAATTGCGCTTTGATTGTATTCAGTCTAAAGCAACACCGGAGAAAATCCACAGAATTTCTTCCCATGTAACAAGACCGAAAAGCTCCCCCCCCCCCCCCCCTTTTAGTTTTTTTTCTTGAATTGATTTTAAAAATATGCATACTTTTTCCTATGTTTCGGATTGAATGAAATTCGTGAAAAACGGAGAGGTCCTTATTTAAAAGCTTGCCATTTCACTTGTAAGCATTATCCATGCTGAACGCAGTTTTGAAATCCAGATATTTGACTATATAAGATACAATCCAAAGCCAAGTAAATTTTTCTTAACCGTGACTACATGCATGTATGCATTCTTTCGGCGAGTAACTATAAATATTATACAATAATAGAAAATTATATGTATTTTAATCTTTACCTCATAAACCCTTCAAAGTTCTTTCTATGCCGTTTCGGAAAAAAAAAAAACACTAGCTCCTAGCTAATTAAAAATATTCCGTTTTTTTTTTAAATCTATAGTGCATATAACTTAATTCACATAAAACATTTTTTGGGTTGCATGTTTAATTGTTCTTTATTAATAAGAAAATAAAAATATCAAGATTTTGGCTGAAGTCTTATTTTAGTTGGTTAGGACCCCTCCCCCTTTTCGATCCAGTTCGCCTCCCCAATGTCAAATTCTTGCCGACGCCCCTGTTTTTTTATTATCTTTTTGACATTGATTGTCCTATATATGATATGAATCTTTTTGAAAGTCATATTGTTCACAAAAAAGATAGAAAATGCCTCAATTTTTTTTCCACTCCCAAAATATTTCTATCATCACCCCCCCCCCCCTCTCTCTTTACTTCATACCATGAAATAGAATGGATTTTATTTTACTCTATTACCCTATACTTCATATCTTTAAAAAAACATTTTAACCTGTTCACGGAGCATTAATTGTTATATACGCATGCTTTTGTTGTACTGAATTCAACAGGAAAGGTCGCAGTTCTCAAGGTACCGAATTTTTAACAGAGAGTTCCGAAAGGTAGCTTCCGAAAGATCATACACATAAAGAAGAAAGCACCGCATATAATACTGTGTCTACATCATAACGAAATGCAAAATCTACCGCACGGAATGCTAACAGGACCGGGCATAATATTTAACGATCAGCATCATCATAATAACAGAAATACTACATATAATGATGAATATACTGTATATAATGTGAGAAGTACATAATATATTGTTGTGTTCACTGCATATAATGTTAGATCTACCGCATATAATGTTAAAAGCACTTCATATAATGATAAAAACACCTCATATAATGATAGATGTACATAATATAATGACACATCTACATCATATAATGAAAGAAGTACTGTATATAATGGAAGTTGCACACGATATACTGTAAAAACTACTTCATATAATTAAAATAGTACCACATATAATGAAGAGAACACTGCATATAATGTTTAATCCTCATATAAGACAGTCTCGGCGTTCCATATCAATTATCCAGAATTTTATTGATATATACTTGTATTCAGAGATTTTCCACTACCCTGTGTTTGGCCGTATTTATGCCCAGTTTCTTACTGCAAAACACCTCCCTCTCTCCCCCTCCCCCAAATGAACTGCGTGTTCAATTTTCGACGACACAAAAAATTAACAAGCTTAACTGGATCAGACTACATGTTTTTTTCTTTGTTTTGAACATATTTTATTGAATGAATCAAAAGGATCACAGACAAGTTCTTACAACTTACTTAATTCTGTTCAGTAACATAGCAATTAAAATCTACAGGTGATTTCATCAATAAATTTATGCACAGCAGCAAAAATATTTATATAGTCTGTAAAGGCAAATTTACATCACCCCAGAATAACAAATTTGTGTCAATAATGACCAATTCGTCAAGTTTAAATAGCTGGTTAAAATGATTATTCCTAGCGTTTGGATAATTTCTACAGGCAAAAAAGAAATGATAAGCATCTTCATACTTCCCACATAAAGATAAAGACTACATGTATGTGTAAAACAAGACAAGTGAGGTTGGGACTGCTAGAAAACTAAAATATCAAAATTTATCATTAGTGTTTATTCCATATTAATGATAAAATGTCGTTAAATTCCTAATTCCAAGGACCCAGACACCGTTCACAAAATGGAGTGGAAAATCTCTGATATTGACAGGTACATGTACATGTTTTCAGAACAACAATTTTATCATCATAGCATACAGGAATTGCATGTAGTATTTTTATATATACGTGTAGATTAAATTAACACAGTCGGGATCTTTATTCCTCGGTAACACAGGTAACATATTTAAATTAATTGAAATATACATGTATTTGTTTAATTTAGAACAGTATGTAATGTTGTGTTATCAAGCCCAAAACCGTGTACAAAGAAAGTCTGGGAAAACAGATATACTTTTAATGAAACTGTGTTACACAAAAATGTGAATTATCTACATTCATACGAAAATGTAAATTATTAACATACAAACACGAAAATTATTTAGCTACATACAAAAATTTAAATTATTTACAATCATACAAAGATGTAAATCATTTACATACATGTACATATAAAATGTAAAATATTAACATGCATACAAAGATGTCAATTATTTACATGCATTTACGTACAAAGATGTCAATTATTTTCATACATGTATACAAGGATGTCAATTATTTGCATATATAAAAAGATGTCAATTATTTACATGTTTTACATACAAAGATGTCAATTATTTTCATACATGTATATAAAGATGTAAATTATTATTTATAAACATACAATGATTTCAATTACTTACACACATAAAGAGATGTAATTTTTTATATTCACACAAAGGCGTAAATTATCTACATTCATACAAAGATGAAAATTAATTACATTCATAAAAAGATGTATTTATTTTACATACATACAAAGATGTAAATTATCTACAAACATGTAAATTATTTTCAGATATTTACATAGTCACCCAAATTTCAACACTTAAGTCACATCTATCAAAGGGAAAACCAATTACAAGACACATATTTCTTTGTTGTCGTAGCATTAGTATCAGAGTTCCAAACACATGAAGGTGCATTTTGATAAAGGCTTCATCATGATTTTGGTTTCAGATTTGGTTTATATAAACAACAATTACTGGACATTTACCATACATATATGTAAAGACATACATGTAGCAACTGCATGAAGGTAAAACAGTAAGTAATTGAGGTACCTCCACCACCATATAATGAATCAGATCCCAGTACAAGTAAAACACGTTTATAGCGAACGCACTTATAATGAATTGCGCCTTATAGCAAAGTGATTTTTATTTCCCTTGATTTAAAATACATGTATATTGAACAATTAACGGATATAATGAATTACGCTTATAAGCAAACTTGAATGTCACAGGCACTTCGTGTGTTCACTGCATATATAGGCTACTAGTGAAAATCTCTTGAACATATGATAGATTAAATGTCCAAAGCTTGAAGTACATGCTTCTCTGAAGATAAAATGTTGATTAGAAATTCAAAACACAAATTAAACATCAGTAAAGACCAACAAAAAATTTGTTAATATGACATATAGTTCAGTATAATTATAATTATTAGGGCATTGAAAATATAGATATTACACAAAAAATCACTTTGAACAATAGCATATCTATTTCAAAAATTAACAAAATTATTTTTCATATTAAAAAAAATTAAGAGGAAAAAAATTATCTTGGTACATTTTCATTTTACTAAAAACAATAAATACACAATTAATACATGTGAATAAATAAAAGCACAATTGCTATATACAGTAAGTAGAATTTCAGGCATTATTAATAGTCTCACAAAATATAAGAGTAGTTTTAAAAAACAAACAAACAATCAAACAAAACATGGCTTCTCTGTTTTTTTTCTTTAGTTTTCAGTCATGTCCTATTATTTTCCTTGTTTTGGGGTGCATTTTTTTTTTCTGAAAGAAAATTGATCAGAAAAAATAATCAAACTTTTTAAAAATTTTAAGAACAGCATGGTTAATATCATTATCGTTAATAACTTACAGAAATCAATGTCTGGATAGTCTGTTCTTCACAATTTGTAGAATTTCATTTGTAAGTTCTTTTGCCGTTGTCGCATCGCTTTCCGTGTAAAGTTCGGATGGAATGCAGCTCCTTGAAACAGCATCGGGATAACGCATGCCGAAATAATTCCCTGTTACACCTTCAAGCTGATTGATAAGGTCGCGTAATGATATATCAGCAATTGAAGGCAGCAGTTCTTTGAGATTGTGTGAGCTATGAACTCTTTCGATTCCACCTGTTTCATACCAAAGAGCTTTCAATGCCTTTTCAGCCGCCTGCAATTAAAATAAGTATTGACATGAATGAAAACTCTCTCTCTCTCTCTACTCTCTATCTATTATAATATATATATATATATATATATATATATATATATATATATATATATATATATATATATATATATATATATATATATATATATATATATAATACAGTGGGACGGACAACTTCGGAATGGACATTTTTCCGAACTTGCGCACCCTTTTCCTTTAAAGCTATCATCTTAGGAATTTTTTAAATGGTGGGGTTTTTATATTTAAATTGATTTCTGAAATTAAAAAAATCATAGATTTTCACTAGTTTTTGAGATATTTTAAAGTGGCAAAGATAAAAATCCCTTGGGGAAACATGCATGTACTTAAAATTACCCCATGAAAACCCCCACAAAAACCCCATGGGGTTTAAAATTTTCCCAATGGGAGAAATATAACCTTTCGTGGGGTTTTTAAACCCATATATGACTAAAAATTACATGTGGGTTTTTCCCCCCACATTTTTGTTGCATAGGGTAAATAAAACCCCATGTAATCTTCATTATGTATCTTTGATTTCATGATAATTGGAATGAAGGAGACATTAATTATTGTTTTATCTTATTCTCAAACTTATTTCCCAAGATAATATACTAATTTCAGACATGACTGTTCTCAATTTTTTTCAATTTTTTTGAAACCTGGTTAGTATAACAAAATTATTGATTCTTAGTAATAACAAATACTGTTTATTAATTAATTCATAAATCATGTCCCACTGCCCTTGGATCCCCCACTCATAAGAATATACCCTTGGATCCACCAATAAATTCTTTGAATCTGTGTATGATTCATGTTACATAGATATATTTATATATGACTTATTCATATAAAGAATAAATTTCTTATCTCCCATACAGAAGAGTAACATTGCTATTTACATATGTATATTTCAATATTTATTTCATATCTCTTTTTCTTCAAATTTCCCCTTGGATCTCCAAATAAACTGGATCCATCAACCTTGGATCCGTAACTTAATTCTTTGGAGCTATATAACTCATTCATGTTAAGCTTAAAGTTAAGTATTTAAATATCATTTTGTTGAAATCAAAATTTAATTTATATTATCAGATAAAGCTACATTCCTCTCCCTTTCAATCCACATCCTGAACTTAAGACGTTTATATTCTTGAGACCTGGTTAACATATTAAAATCATTTACTCTTAAATAAAAATACTTTTAATATCTCAAATTTTTTAATTCATAAAATATTTCCCACTCCCTTGGATCCCCCTCTCAAAAGATTCGACCCCTGGATCCACCACAAAATTCTCTGGACCTTGAATATTATTTTCTTGAAATTAAATCAATATACATGTATATGTGATTAGATAAAGGTCCTCTTCCTTTGGATCCACAACTATCTGTTATTAAATTGTGAACACATATAATATATTTGTTTATAAATATAAGGAAATACAAATACAACGGTTTATTAATTAATTCATAAATTATGAACCACTCCCCTTGGTTCCCCCACTCAAAAGAATAGACCCTTGGATCTACCACTAAATTCTTTGAATCTATATATGAATCAAACCTACATATAAGGGTGCAAAACACAGTTTTATGTATGACGTTATCATGACGTTACTAAATGAGGGACATGCAAAAGTGACCCCCATAAAGAAATAATATGAAGACTTGCTACATAGACATCTATATATCAGTAGAAAGATAAAATTGTGAATTTTATAAATATATAAATATATTGCATTTATCACTTACTAATAAGGTGTATTTGACACATGAAACATGAGGGAAATAGGGAAGTTTATGCGTCTAATTGTAGTACACCTATGCATTTTTAGCTCCCTTGATCACAAACAGCGCAGAAATCAGAAAATATAAGTGCTGTGCATTTAACAGAGCAAGTCCTTAGGTTTCTTTTTGTTGTACTTTTAGGGTACATTTTCCAGCTTTTTAAAGAGCTACTTTACCTGCTACTCAAATCATGCAATTCTGCACATGTGAAAAATGGGTGATTTTAGAGTTATCTCCCACTATTAAAAAGTCACACAAAAAATAATTCTCAAAAAATATTTGTATACTTTTTTCATTTAATCTTAAGATAAGACTCTACTTTATGCAAATAAAAATAAAAAAGCTGCAATTTTCATGTACACTGCATAAAAATAGCAGGGAAATCCCTACCCATCATGCTTTTCTCTGAGGAAACCCCCCTGGATTTTATACGAAACTGTGTTTAGCTACCTTAAAGGAAATAAAAAAATTCTGTATTTCACTTTCTGGTGTCTAGATGCAAGGAGGACAAAATTCCAAACAGTTTGGTGTATACAAAGTTAAATTCGGTCCAGAAATAGCCAAGAAATTGTCAATTTAGTATTACATGTCTTTGACATTGGTCGACTTCTTAAGCAGGACTTTGGAGATAAATTTCAAAACTGTGACTAGCAGCTTACAAATTTTACTTTATTTTATACGATGAACATGACCGAGGAAGATGAGTATTTGAATATGAATGACATGTTAAAATATAAATTAAAAAGCATCCGAAAAATACAAATTTTTATATTTTACACAAATTTCTGGTTGCAGTATGAACCAAAAAAAAGGGGGGGGGGGGTACGTCACAGTCTTAAATTGAGAGATTGCCTTAGAAGACCAGACTGTATCAACATAGCAAAATATTCATTATGCAATGTGATATAAATGCATATATCCCTTGATTATGATCAATTATATTCAAGGTCACGACCTCATGAAGCTTCCTTTTTGACATGACGTCACACTTTGATGTCACAATGCAAATTCATCATAATGTAAAATAATACATCACAATCCGACTCGTCATAATATAACATGTAACAAAGCTAAAAACATGTACCTTATGCATTAAATAAGATTAAATGTCAACATGAAGCTTTCATGCATGGTTTCATACATTAAGTAAAGCTAAGATAGCAATATTCTCTGACCTACAGATAGATAAATGAAGGAAAATGTCATTTAGTGTCACTCCTTAAGGGTGCAAAACACAGTTTTATGTATGACGTTATCATGACGTTACTAAATGAGGGACATGCAAAAGTGACCCCCATAAAGAAATAATATGAAGACTTGCTACATAGACATCTATATATCAGTAGAAAGATAAAATTGTGAATTTTATAAATATATAAATATATTGCATTTATCACTTACTAATAAGGTGTATTTGACACATGAAACATGAGGGAAATAGGGAAGTTTATGCGTCTAATTGTAGTACACCTATGCATTTTTAGCTCCCTTGATCACAAACAGCGCAGAAATCAGAAAATATAAGTGCTGTGCATTTAACAGAGCAAGTCCTTAGGTTTCTTTTTGTTGTACTTTTAGGGTACATTTTCCAGCTTTTTAAAGAGCTACTTTACCTGCTACTCAAATCATGCAATTCTGCACATGTGAAAAATGGGTGATTTTAGAGTTATCTCCCACTATTAAAAAGTCACACAAAAAATAATTCTCAAAAAATATTTGTATACTTTTTTCATTTAATCTTAAGATAAGACTCTACTTTATGCAAATAAAAATAAAAAAGCTGCAATTTTCATGTACACTGCATAAAAATAGCAGGGAAATCCCTACCCATCATGCTTTTCTCTGAGGAAACCCCCCTGGATTTTATACGAAACTGTGTTTAGCTACCTTAAAGGAAATAAAAAAATTCTGTATTTCACTTTCTGGTGTCTAGATGCAAGGAGGACAAAATTCCAAACAGTTTGGTGTATACAAAGTTAAATTCGGTCCAGAAATAGCCAAGAAATTGTCAATTTAGTATTACATGTCTTTGACATTGGTCGACTTCTTAAGCAGGACTTTGGAGATAAATTTCAAAACTGTGACTAGCAGCTTACAAATTTTACTTTATTTTATACGATGAACATGACCGAGGAAGATGAGTATTTGAATATGAATGACATGTTAAAATATAAATTAAAAAGCATCCGAAAAATACAAATTTTTATATTTTACACAAATTTCTGGTTGCAGTATGAACCAAAAAAAAGGGGGGGGGGGTACGTCACAGTCTTAAATTGAGAGATTGCCTTAGAAGACCAGACTGTATCAACATAGCAAAATATTCATTATGCAATGTGATATAAATGCATATATCCCTTGATTATGATCAATTATATTCAAGGTCACGACCTCATGAAGCTTCCTTTTTGACATGACGTCACACTTTGATGTCACAATGCAAATTCATCATAATGTAAAATAATACATCACAATCCGACTCGTCATAATATAACATGTAACAAAGCTAAAAACATGTACCTTATGCATTAAATAAGATTAAATGTCAACATGAAGCTTTCATGCATGGTTTCATACATTAAGTAAAGCTAAGATAGCAATATTCTCTGACCTACAGATAGATAAATGAAGGAAAATGTCATTTAGTGTCACTCCTTAAGGGTGCAAAACACAGTTTTATGTATGACGTTATCATGACGTTACTAAATGAGGGACATGCAAAAGTGACCCCCATAAAGAAATAATATGAAGACTTGCTACATAGACATCTATATATCAGTAGAAAGATAAAATTGTGAATTTTATAAATATATAAATATATTGCATTTATCACTTACTAATAAGGTGTATTTGACACATGAAACATGAGGGAAATAGGGAAGTTTATGCGTCTAATTGTAGTACACCTATGCATTTTTAGCTCCCTTGATCACAAACAGCGCAGAAATCAGAAAATATAAGTGCTGTGCATTTAACAGAGCAAGTCCTTAGGTTTCTTTTTGTTGTACTTTTAGGGTACATTTTCCAGCTTTTTAAAGAGCTACTTTACCTGCTACTCAAATCATGCAATTCTGCACATGTGAAAAATGGGTGATTTTAGAGTTATCTCCCACTATTAAAAAGTCACACAAAAAATAATTCTCAAAAAATATTTGTATACTTTTTTCATTTAATCTTAAGATAAGACTCTACT